TTATTATGTTGTTAGGGAATGCCAAGGAGGATAAACTACTTTCTGAGGGAGTGAGGATGCAAAACCTGAAAAACAAGTTGTCACCTTTGTTGATGAGGTGAGAACATTTCAAAAGATCATGATATGCATGTAATGATGATGATAATAGAATGAAAAAAGACATTATTCATTGTGGGAAAGTAATAAATGATACTATTCATTTGTCTCACGATTGAGGGTCTTTTATAGAGGACCGCGATATTTCGACTGCAAACTGCTAGTCTTTATCAGGCGATGGTGTAGACTGTATGGTGTGTCTCTCAGAGTTCAGAATGATTACAGTCAAGCTACCTCAAGCGTGAACACGTAGAGGTCATTAATGACTTTATTTTTGGATTCTTGATTTCATTATTCGATTCGAAGATTCATTAATGAAAACGAATCTTCAAAGCCTAGCATATACAAAAGCCAAGCATATATGCAACTGAAATGCAAAAACAACTTTTTGTGCAAGGAATATATAATATTAATGACTTACCTTCTGTTTGCGCTATAAACAAGAGCCTGCAAGCCAAGTTAATCGAATTTTCAAATTATTATTATTTTTTGAATATTGAAGATTCGTTTTCATTAATGAATCTTCGAATCGAATAATGAAATCAAGAATCCAAAAATAAAGTCATTAATGACCTCTACGTGTTCACGCTTGAGATAGTTTGGCTGTAAATATTTGGGTTTAGCAGTCAGAATCAATTCACCATTTTCCATACATCGGTTTACTGGTCAAACACACAGCATTCAGTCGAGGTTGCAAGGTTCAAATTTGAATAATCCTTTGAAAGTACCTTGGCGCCTTGCTTGAGCGCTCCAGTGTGTTTGACCAGTGAACCGATGTATGGAAAATGGTGAATATCAGTGTTTCGTTCTTTCGTTCGTTCGTTCGTTCGTTCGTTCGTTCGTTATTTTATTCATTCATTCTTTCCCTCTCATGCATTTTTCTAGTCTCAAAAAAGCTCAAAGTAAGCTTAACGTTGACCCAGTAGAAGTGTCCCTCATCAATAAAAAAATCAAGGAAGTAAGGTAAAACATAGCTTTTCTATCTGATACATTTTCTTTCAAATGATACCAAGTTGAGGAAAAAACTGGATGGAGTTGCTATTGCAGTGCATTGTTGGACTGTTTGATGAAACATATTGTCAAGATGGTGTCTATTTAATCACTTGAAACAGCTACACACTTCAGCACTGAAATTCTGATCCACCCAGTTACTTCCTCAACCTTGGAAAAATAGCTAATATATATTTATATTATAGAATTTAAGTTTTCTTTTTATTGCAGGGCCCTTATTGATAACAGCTTCTGTGCTGTCTAGGCTACCCTGGGTAAACAATATTGTATTTATACTCTCAACAATGCTTGAATGGGATTGAATAGGAGTCAGTGACTAGCACTATGCATGAAACTATGAGAGAGGGATATTGAGGCTAGCAGTGTCGGGCAATCGTTAGTGCATTGTTTTGGTGAAAAAAGTTGAACACGTGTTATGGTCTTCGTAATTCCTGTRGGATGTTTTTTTGATAGTGTAACTAGATTTGCACAGAGTAGTTTTTATCCAGGCTCTTTTTAATCTCCTACGCAGCCGCTATTAGTGTCGTCACCCAAAGCGTTGCGTGACGACACTTATAGCGGCTGCGTAGGAGACTAGGCTCTTTCTAGATCGAATTACAATTTAAAAGTTGATTTTTGAGGAGGAAGGAAAACCGGAGAACCCGGAGAAAAACCCTCGAAGCACAGGAGAGAACCAACAAACAACTCTACTTACATACAACTAGTCTGAGGATCGAAAAATAATTCTAAGTTTGTGGTGTTCGGTGATACTAAGGACTTTCAGATTTGCAAAATCTACGATGGCGACGTCAACCGGAAGTGGTTCTGTTCATTGGAGATTTCATTCCAAACATTGTCAGTAAAGTCAACTCATCCACAGGGAAGACAGGCTTTTGAGGTTCTAAGCCACAAAGTGAAGTCATTTACACGTCTTCCGGTTGACGCGATCGTCGTAGACTTTGAGTCACGTGGTTGCACCCCAAAAGTAGTAGGAAATTTAAAATTCTCGACTTTCACATCCCATAATCCTTTGCGTCTTTGGGGGGTAACCAGAG